GTTCAGCGCTCTGTTCAGTTTCCAGTCACTCGCCGTTCCTTGTGACCGTGTCAGCCAGTGCGCCTTCATAACCCATCACACGAACCGCGCGACCACGCCGACCGCTCATTTGACCTTGCAACCACCACGCTCGCCTGAACGAAGTGCGCCGCTCTCAAAGCTGTAAAAGTACAGAACACTAACCAACCTACTGGGTCAGGTAACGACACCAAATTGAATGGCAGAAAGGCGAAACCGAAGAGACTCCAAGCAAAAGGCATTTGTTGGTTAGGAGAATGTCATCGGGTAGTAAAAATCGGTCTGGCTTGTTCGCACTGTTTGGTTTGGTACCATATGAAATGTGCAAATGTGTCCCAACGACAGTTACGGGAGCGAATTAGCTCCCACGATGCATTTTGGTTCTGTACTGCGTGTTCCACCATCTCCCTCGTTAAGTGCTTGCTTATCCTAGCTGAGAAATGCGACCGGTTAACCGCAAAATCAGAGCAGAGGATCAACAATAAGATTACTTCAATGGAAGCGAGTATGGACCACAGAAGCGTAGCGGCTCCTAAGCAACGGAATGCTGAGCAATCCACTTCCCCTGCAACGCACTCAGCCACCTCTCCATCTCCGTTGTCTTCTCCAAATTTGGTAGAACGCCGGGCGAAAACAGACTGTACCTACTCACGACCACGAAAATCAGGCACCATTCAAAACGTCTGGTTAAGCAAATTCCACTAGACCTGACGTCAAGCAGTAACAAGGATGAAGCAGCCAAACACCAACCCTTGGTACTTGTAGCTCAAATGTCTCTTGTCGAAACTAAACCTCCCAGAACATCGGTTATATATGCAGAGATTGCTGCAAGGGTCCACCGAGAGGCCGTCGTTGCGTCCTCTTCCATTGTAAACACCGTTAACGCAAATGGAGAGAAAAAGAGCAAACAATCACTTGTCAACAAGTCAGGACAAATGGGTGCCATACATTGTAGATAGATTAAAAATGGATCAAACAACAGTGCCCGGACTGTTGTATGCTCAAATGTCCCTGAATCTACCGCCATCACATTGCGGGATAAGTTATCAGACGACCAACACCAATGGAACGCATTGTATATGCAGATGAGTATCAAAGCCAAGCCCATAAACTTGTTACGAATTATTCGTCATCCGAACTCGCCACACTATGGTTAACCCAGACTTATTCATGTAACACTAGAATCCTCCAGTGACGTGGGAAAGGTTTTGCTCTTTGCAAGCGCTCTAAAACACGGATCGTGTGGGATACGCATCTCTCCTGATGTCCCTTAGAGTGCGCGATGACAAAAAGGAAACACCGAAGAGGGACACAGCGAGCAAGACCGCCTAAACACAATGTTCATACTTGCAGTGCCAGAAGATCAATCTAACGATGTTCAAGAGACCGGAAAGCACGATTTAGAACAGTCTCGGTTCATTCGTGAAACACTTTCTTTGGATAATGTTGTGGCACTATCGCTCACCAGGATACCTCTCTCATCGAATTATAGAGGATGCGGCCCTAGAATCCTAAAACTTGTGGTTCAGTCAGAGCAACAAGCAAAGGATGTTTTGGATCGATGGCGGAGAAATCGGAAACACTTTCCTTCCGAAATTCGGTTAAAAGTCGCAAACACTTTGCACAGCTAAAATATTAAAGCAGCTGAAGCAACAAGCATACCGACGAATGTACAAAAAGTAACTTGACTGCTGTTTTAATTGGCTCTGACGTAGGTCTGAACGAAGGATGGAACGCACCTTGGCCGAATCAAGTTGCAAACGAGGTATCATTGACACATCAAAAAAACGAGTAACTACCGACCTCTCACACGTGACCGCTTCATCCCTCTGTGGGCTCCTAGAGACCGAGAAACTGGCCTGCTTGTATACGAATGCTCAGGGTCTTTCTAACAAACTGGCTGAACTGAAAGATCGCCAAGCTTCCGGGACGTATGGTGTCATTGGTATCACCGAGACATGGTTGCATACGGGAATGACGGATGCTGAAATGTCGCTACCCTGCATGTCGCTGATCCGGAACGACAGGCTCACAAAAGGAGGAGGGGTAATCCTGTATTACGGAAACGACTTACCGTGCGAAGCCGTGGAGGATTCAGCCTCGCAGTTCCCCGACTCTCTTTGGTGCCGGTTGCAGTTAAAAGGCAGGTACGCTTGCCTTATAGTCTTGGTGTACCGCCCTCTAACTCAACACCCGAAACCGAATACCACCTACCGGCTGCTTTAAGGTGCAGTTTACAATAAAAGTACACTCACACTCTTATCATGCGTGATTTCAACGTACATTGTTTAGAAGCCCCTGCCACGACTCGAGCAAAATTCAAAACCGATCTACAAGGTCTAGAAACTATTGTTCCTCTTTACAATCACATCACTTTGCCCACGCTGTTCAAAACTGGTAACATGCAGTCTGTGCTGGATCTTGTGCTTACCAACGAGGAACATGTGATTGATGCGTTGGTTTTAGACTGCTCGTTGGGTCGCAGTGATCACGCAGTCATCAGTTTCAACTTCGTCTGCTATGCAGCATTTCTGAATGGGAACGATGAGATTGTGCGAACCATCACAAGGTACGACCGACTCGCCCAGCTCGTCAGCGCCACAGCTTGGTCTTTCCTCGAAGAAGAACCCCCGGAAGTCGCCTGGCTCGAGTTCGACAACAAATTCAGTCAGCTGATTGCAGAGGCTTCAGGGATAAAAGCTTGAAATGAGTGCAACTCAGTTTCTTTCGTTAGGAGCAGAACTCGAAAATGGATGACAGTACGCAACGCAGCATGGCGAGTGTACAGAGAAGCTGCAGCACCAGAAACTTGGGACAATTACGTAGCCCAACGTAACCACTGCACTCAACTTTTAAGAGAAAACAAATCCGCCTATCAGCAGAACATCGCAACACCTTCAGTGCTAACCACAAACTGCTGTACAAGCACTTTAATAGCCTACGAAAGGTGAGACAAGGATTTCCTCCACTCAAGACGGCTGATGGCCCAACAAGAACGTCTATGGAAGCAGCAAACGCGCTACAGATGCAATACCCCCCCACATTTCAATGGGTCTTGTCACCAAATGATCTTCCAACCTTTGTCGGCTTCTCGCCAGGACTAAACCATATCAATTTTACCGCGGAAGCTGTATTGCAATAGCTGACGTCTCTACGCAAACACAGCTCGCCGGGTGTCGACACCATTCGTCCAGAGACATTGGGAGCAGCAGCAAGCCAACTGGCAGGGCATTTAGCTCAGCTTTTCCAGCGCTGCTTAGACCAGAACCAAGTTCCCGCCATGTGGAAGCTTGTAATAATAACCCCGATTCACAAAGGTGGAAGCAGAACTGATCCCTCCAACTACCGCCCAGTATCCCTCCTTCTTATACTCTCCAAGGTCATGGCATCCATAGTTGCCGATGCACTGGTGTGCTATCTGGAAAACTGCAACCTCATCACTCCTGAACAGCACGGTTTCCGTCGACAGCGGTCATGTACGACGAATTTACTAATTGCACGCAGTAGTTGGACCGAGTCAACTGACGCTGGAGAAGGTGTTGAGGTGATCTACCTGGATTTTTCCAAGGCTTTCGACCGTCTAGACCATCGGATACTACTATCCAAGCTGCAGCATTACGGGATCGGCGACTCTTTTTTAATATGTATTGCCAACTTTCTACTTCAACAGTAATAAATGGTCAGAGTTCGGAGCTCTTTATCGGACCCTATACAAATCGTGTGCGGTATACCGCAAGGCTCAGTGCTAAGTTCACGTTTGTATGTAGTGTTTATTAATGACCTTGCACAGGGAATCGCTTCGAACTTCCTAATGTTTGCCCACGATATCAAGATCCGGCGCAGGATGCAGGCGAACGCTGACCAACATGTGCTTCAGAGTGATTTAGATACGGTGTATTAATGGTTGACCCAAAACTTATTGCATTTCAACGTCAGTAAATGCAAGGTGCTTTCCATCCGACATCAGAGCAGCTACTCATACCGACTCGGAACGAATATACTACAACAATCAACTCTCGAACGAGACTTAGGTGTCCTGGTTCAAGATGACTTGGGTTGCTCCAAGCAATCCGAAAAGGCCTCGAAGACCGGGAATCAACACGTCGGGCTGTTGCGACGGGCGTTTGGACAAATAAACAGCTCCATATTTCGACAAATGCTCAGTGCGTATGTTCGCCCCTATGTCGAATATGCAATTCAAGCCTGGCATCCATGGCTGAAACACGACCTTAATGCACTGGAGCAGCCACAACACCGGGCATCTAAGAATGTAATTGGAATGCGTAATCTTTCCTACCAGGAGAGGCTGCAACGATTGCGGATGTTTAGTAGAAGCCATCGCAAACTACGAGGCAACCTCATTATGGCATACTTGATTCTGTGAGACCCACATCATGTGTGCCGCCCTTTACTGCAACTCAGCAGCAATACAAACCTGAGGGGCCACTCATTAAAACTCGCAGAACAATACAGTCGTCTGGAGTGCCGCAGAGATTTCTTTTCCATTAGTATCTGTCACCCGTTGAAAGCTCTCCCAGAATCGGTCGTCTCTGCACCGACACTAACAGTATTTAAAAGACAGTTGGACGATGCACTCATCCACTTACACTTTGTCACTTAACACTACCAATCCATCCTACACCTGGAGTTTACCATGGAATTATTTGTTATCAACTGGGGGTGCTGTGATTCAATGAGGATCGCAGGAATGCAGCGAAGCAAAACATAAGTCGTTTTTTCATATGTAAATTATTAACTATTTTACTATCCTTATCATCATTATTGTTACTTTGTTATCCCCACCAACTATCCAACGGAACTTGTAAAGCAACGCTTCTTAACCCGTATAAATTCATTGTTCCTTGTTCATTGTTAGTAACATAGAACGTCTCTATAAATCCGAACCAGAGCAAATCGTGCGTCCTCTTAGCGGGTTTTACACTTACCCAGGACACCGTCTTAAGGCTGATCTCCACGAACACTCATGAATCGACCTTGGTAATGGCCCCTGTATTGGTCGACAAACAGCGGGGTGAGGGGCAATTTAATCGTTGCAATATCCACCAGGATTGATAGCACACGGAAAACTGACGGCAGTATGTGGAGCGTAACTCACCGCGTAACTCACTATTTTCCGTCTGCACAGCCACATCGTTATACAGACGACTCACGAAGGAAACGTTGGCATATATTTTCACTGCATTAACGGATGCATAATAATAAGCACTGCTTATAGATGAAGTATTGGATTTCACTTTCGCATACGAGTGCTCCGGAGATGTAGTTTGTCGTTCCGGTTTGTGAACCCGTGAGACCATTTCACTCTGCGTCGATTTCTCTTCGGTATGCATAGAATCCCATTGTCCCAACACCAGTCCCGTTGGGTAGCTGGTCTGAAATGTAAAGACAGTGAGCTTATCATTGGACTGGTAATTGTCGTCTGAGAACATGGAGGTCAGCGTAGGATGCGAGGCTTAGGCCGCAAGATTGAGCGCTTGTGAGAGCCCCTATGTGGAATAACAGCTTCACAAGATTAAACGTCAGCGGCGTTTAAGCAAAATTTCATGGCAGAGAGATTTATCCTCTTGGGGTAAGTTTGCCGACGAAACAATGTAACAACGGTATAACGCGGGGTAAAATGGCAATGAGTGACAAGTCCAGTGGCATGATTTGTGTGAATTGCATAAGTTTACAAAATTGTGTCGGCAATGTGCAACGTGGATCTTTGGACTTACAATTTGTTCTTCGTTATCAGGTAGAGTAAAACCGTAAGTTGGCCACTAAAGGGACTGTGTCAAAAGGGTCAACATAGAGGGATGGTAGCCCTATAAAAAAGCTTAGTGTACCATTACTTTTCGGTTACTAGTAGTACTGTTCTCGTTTGCCCTATTTCAAATATATTCGCTGAGTTCTTATGCGATGTCAAACACTTAAATCAAGCAGTAGTATAATGAATCAAAACACCGTGCGGTTCCCTCGAATTTAATACTCTTTTAAAGGATCGATATTTATCTGAATGGATGCTCATTTTGAAATACATGTCTGACCGGATTGCGAAGCGCAAATCATGATGCGGACCGTGATTCACATTGAAGGAACTCTTGGTCAATTGGATCAGTAGGACCGTAGTTAAAACAGGTGGAAATTAGGTGTGGCGAGCCCGAAAGCACTCCACTCCAGGAGGCGTTTCGACCGAATTTCATCTCAGCAGGTAATAATTCAAAATGACCCTCCACTCAGTCATTAAGCATTCTGCCAATCGTTGCGCGTCGTGACTCGGTGCTTGAAGGCTTAGAGGACCTAACTAACATCCTAATGGTCACGGGTTGGAAGCCAGCTATCTCTAGCTGGTGAGAGCATAGTAGGTGGGACTAAGTCGTTGAGTGCAGTGTTTTCGGGCAGGCAACATCCAATTTCAACCGTTGTCTGATTCATTATTTTAGCACCAACTTTGATTGTACAGAGTAGCTTATAACTGGTTAATCGAAGGTTAGACAGGCAGTTAAATTCCAACTCACAACCTGTGAAGTGAGTGGGCACGTCTTCTATCGAGTAGGCTTGACGCCTGCGTGTCGATGTAGACGGGTGAGAAAAGGATTCACAACAAGCTGGTCGAGGATAATTCGTGGACGCGGATTGGTGGAGCCAAGCTGTACGAGTTATGCACCCATGCGCCTAAACACTGAGGGGCGGGACAAAAGTGCACACAGACGTCTACAGGGACAGAGAACATGCCTTATCGTCAAACGTCTGTGGAGCTTAGAAGGCCTTGGATGTGGCTCAGGAGAATTTCACGCCTCGCAAAGTCCCGCTAAATGTTACTTGAAAAAACGAGTCGTTCGACGTTTATTGCACAGTGGATCTTCACGTCTTCAAGTTATAGAGGTTCAACTAATGACTGTACTGGTCCAAATGGTCGACAGACACTTCACAGAGTTGGTCAATACACCGAGGTCCGGTTCCATAAGTTCTACGCGGTAATGGCTAAGGCCATGAAAAGACGGTCAACTAAGAAAGGTGGTTAACTTGAGAATCTTACCGTTTGTACATCCGTCTACAGAGATTGCATGGGGTCTGGTGAGCACATCGTTCTCTGCGTCATGTCAGCACTAGATGAGAAGGATTCAAGCCACTTAAGGCAAATGGCGTACTGCATCGTTGTGTTGGCTTTCATCTAGCAATGTTGGCGCAGAGATGACATAAGCCAGAAGAGCGTTCCACTTTCGCGAATTCCTAGAGGGACATTATTCCGGCGACATTCTAACCAGTTGTGTTGGGTGGCTGGTTTCAGCTGGTTGTTTTGCGACCAAATTTTAAGAGGTATTATTAAACATGACCAGGGACATACCAAATCTGATAAAGCAAAATGAGGTCACCACAGAGACAGCGATTTCTACTTAATGCACACTACAACGGCTATCCAGATGTCGATAGTATAGCACATGGAACAAGTCCTTCACTTTTTTGGTTGCCCTTCCATCTGGCATCTCGAGTGCAGCTAGATCGCACTTCAGCCAGGGTGTCAGAAATAAATGGGGCTCTTTACATAGGGCCGCACATACGCAGTAAGCATGCACGGGATATGGAAGGGTCGAACTACCCCAGCGCCCTACGTAAGAGACCAGTACGGTTCGCTGCTTTGTGCGTCTTCACGGATTGCCCCGAGCAGCAGTGGTCAGCTTGCATCCTTAACCCAAGGTCATTCTCAAGTGAGGCGATAGTCAAGATATGATCTCCAGGTTTGCATGTGTCAGTGAGCATGTGTCCGCAAGTGTACACTTATCCGTACGGAAACAGAAGTAGACTGGTATTTGACCACGTCATCGGTGTTACTGATGCATTGTTAAATGCTGAAATGATGGACCCTGTAGTCTCGCTACCGGGTATGCCACACGTTGGCAATGACAGACCTGCAAAGTGAGGAGACTAAATAATGTATTACAAAAGCGACCTACACTGCGAGGCCGTGAAGGATTCAGGCTCACAGTTCGCCGATTCTCTTTGGGGTCGCATGCAATCCCATGGCAGAGACAATTGCCTTATAGCTTTTGATTATCACCCCAAAACTCTACACTCGAAATGAATTTCCACCTTGTGACTACTGTAAGATTCACTCTAAATGAGAAATACACTCACACCTTGAACATGGGTGATTTTAATGTACAGTGTTTAGAAACCGTGCTACCATCAGAGAATAATTCAAATTCAATCCGTAAAGATTAATAACCAATAATCCAGTTTACAACCACGTCATCATGTCTACACAGTTTAGAGAAGATAACAGGTCATCTGTGCCAATTCTTGTGCTTACCAACAAGGAGCGTATGATTATCCTATTGCTTGTGGACTGTCCTTTGGGCAGCAGTGATCATGTGGTTGTCAGTTTTAACTTTCTCCACTATGCGGAATATCGAAATGCGAACACAGAGATGGTGCGCACCATTACATGCTACAACCGCTTAACCCAGTTGTCAATGTCACCATCTAGCGGTTCCTCGCCGAAGAACCCCCAGGAGCTGAATGCCTGGGTTCGTCAACAAGTTGTATCTAGTGCTTAGATACGCTTCAGAAACAAAAGTTTGCAATATTCCTAGGCAGTTATTTTCGTTAGGAGCAGAACGGATTGATGGATGGCGATGTGCAACGCAGCATGGCAAATGACTAGGCAATCTTCAACCACGTATCTTAACGTGACCACTTTTCTCCTTTGTTCAGAGAATACAAAGTGGCACATCAGTAAAACATGGTACAAACTTTCGGTGTCAACCCCAAACTGCTGTAAAAGCACTTCAAGTGTATTCGTGAGGCAGGAAATTGCTCCGCTCCTGATGGCTGATGATCCAATAATGAGCGACCATAAAATCGACAAACGCATTGCAGATGAAATGTTGTTCAACCATCTTCCAGATTTTGTGGACTTGCCGCCACGGCTCACATATATCTCCTTTGCTGCTGAAACTGTAATGCACAGTGTGACGTCTATGCCCAAACACATTTTCAGGACCGTCAATACAATTTGTCAGGAGGCACTGGGACCAGCAACAAGACAACTGACTTAACCGTTGGCTCAATTTTCTTAGCGTTTCTTAGATTGCTGTCAGCTTCTTGCTATAAATTCTTGCTATAAATAAAAATCCACTTCAGAGGCGGAAACAGCACCTAATTCCCAAATTACTGCCCAGTACCTCATCTCTTTGTACTGTCCGAGGTAATAGAATACCAAACTGCGGATACACTGATGTGCTATTTGTAAGACTGCCACATAATTACGCCAGAGCAACACAGCTTCCGTCGACAGCGATTGCGCATAATGAACTTACCGCTCCCACGTAGTCAGCTGAAGCTCAAAAGAATGTTGACGTGGTCTACTTGGATTTGCTGAAGGCAGCTGATCGTTTAGATGATCGGATTTTCCTTTCCAAGCTCCAGCATTAAGGGATCTATTCCCCTTTTGATCTGAATCGCCAACTTTATATTTCAACCCAACTTTCTCCTTCACTCCGATGGGGACTTCAAATTCAGTCGTTGTTGTTGTGATTGGAATGCTTTTCTTCCCTATGCGCTGCGGATACTGTTCCACCTGTCTCTACTACTTACCCTCATTTCTTTAAGCGAACCAATTTAGACCCAGCAATGTTGACTTACTCTTCTAACCCTGCGCGCCATGTTGCTTTAACCGCCCCCGAAACTTCGGCGTCCTTGCTGTTCTCATGACTTTGACTGCGAAGGCGTGCTCCTGCGCTTGGTTGCTCTCAGCTATCGGCCACTTTCCGGTGTCTGCTTGCCAGTAGGCTCACGACACGTAGTTTGTCGATTTTAATGCTCACTCGGTGGCTGTGGGTAGTCTTCCAACTACCTACGCTCCCTTCGTTTTCCATTGGAACAATGGAACAATCGTATTTTAGGGATGAATAGCCAACGCTTGACAAGTCCCGTAGGGTGGTTTGTGGGAATAAGGTTAGTTCAATGAAGTTACACAAATGTGAAAAACAAATCTGTGTACTCACCATATTATCCACGTTAACACATAGATGTATCTGTCTACCCGAATACGTGGGTTTGGTGAGCACAATGTCTTGTCATCACAATGAATACAAATCAGATCAAGTGATGTAAATGGCTTAAAGCATCGTCTAGTCATTTTTTAATAATCAGTAGCATGGACGCGGAAATGACAATAGTCAAAAGAGCATTCCAGGATTGACAAACTCGACGGGAAAACTAATTCCGGCGGCACTCAAGCCGACTGTATTGGGTGACAAGTTTCAATTTATGACCCCTCAATTCTGTGTTGCGGCTAAGCTTCAGGAGGTCTCGACATGCGTGACCGGGGTTTTTCAAAATCTAGAATATTCAAAAGCGCAGTCTAATTATCGTTGCAAAATATCGTGAT